ATGAGACAAAGTGGATTTGGCAATGTCGTCTGCCAGTTCATGCCGGCAGTTCTTACAGTGGTCATACACATGCATTACCCTGAGCTGCGCCCTCCCTGCTGCAATAGCGTGCACATGCCTGGCGAGCCCCGCCAGCTGTGGCTCAGCTATGGCAACAGCACTACCCATCGCGATGCCAATGGCTGACTCCGAGTCAGAAAACATGGTTACTGAGGGTAGGGGAGCGGCGGGGTCCAAGTGACAGGGGTATTTACGAGCGACCCATAGCAACGCCCAAAGGATCCCAGCGAGTTCGGCCGTCGTGCTACTGATCGATTTATTCAACATTAATCGACTGTGCTACGAGACCCGCTATATATCCAAGGAACTCTACCTCACCGTCCTCATTTATGCAAGTGCCTATGACGGCCCACCCTCCCTCTGACCGATCCTTAGGCACCGATCCGTCAGTTTATAGTGTGACCTGACTCGACGGGCATTGCGCGAGGGTGGTCACATCCAGGGCAAACTTCGCAACGTCCTTAAGAGGAAAATCCTCATGTTCTTGAGCCAATCGGTGGAATTTCCGCGTTCCCTAAGGCATGCTTGCACACGATCGGCCCCTGAGAAGCCACAGTTAACATTGTCCGTGGCAGTGGCCGTCAATGTATCCAAACTGATGATCATTTTTGGTGCAGGGGGCGTCGGCACTGACGGAACCGCGACAGGGAACAGGCATGCGCTTCGGCTGACTGGATCATACTCGACAACATCCGCCACCCCCCAAGTAACCCGACGCTCCCCCCGAATGCTATCCCGAATGTGCTGTCACTCCTGCGCACCGCGCGCGGCAGGGGCAGGCCCACCTGCCCTTGGTTGCGCGTCGCAGAAAGAATGTGGCGCCGCGGCGCTCGAGGCAGACGGGCTTAGCACTTCCCAAGGCCAGCCCCCCCCCCCAAAAAAAAAAGAAGACGCCTCAGCCCGAGTCCCGCCCCCATATCCAAACGCCTGTGGTACAGGCGGCATGCTTAAAACTAGCGAACGCATCTGACCGCATGGCCAATCGTGCCTTTCTGCAGCTTCCCCTGCTGCTGGCAAACCTGAGGTGAAACCAAAACTCGCATCTGCAACGTGCGTATCTATTCCTCCGACACATGAGCCGAAGGATGTATGACTGCCGATGCTTGATCGTGCTGCCGCTGACAAGGTCGAAACGACATCGGGAATGCTGTGACATGGCGGCCACGCGCCAGAGACCACAGAAAAACTAGTAACGCTCACCCCCACGTCACTCTGCACATTGGACCCTGCTGCGTGCCCGCCCTTTAGCAGTTTCCCGTCCTGCGAGCAACCGAAGCACTGCTGTCCTGCATCTTCTTGGACTCCTTCCTCGGCGGGGACTCGCCAGTGGGCATGCTTGACTCGATGATCTCTGGCTCTTCGGTGATTGAACCCGCAGGCGCCGCCGCGAACGGATCGCACTGCGCGTCGCCCTGCATCGGCTGCGTAGGAGTGATACCGAATAGAACTGGATACCCTGGCACCTCCTCCTCGACATCTGAGTTTAATCCTGGCACTGGCTGCGCCACAGCTGCTTTCACTGGGGTATGCGCAAGTGGTGTCGACGGCTGCGGCTGAGACATCTGCTCTGTGGGAATCGGAGACCGTGACCTCGACCGCGCCCCACCCTCGCACTCTTTTGCCTCGAACGCCGAAGATCTCGAACGGGGCTGCGCCACGGTCGTGGCTGGCACTGGCCCACGCGGCGTTGGAGGCGCGGCGGCAGGCATGGTTGTCTGCAATGGTGGCGACGGCGGGAAATCTGGCGGGGCACCAGGTGCAGCAACGGATGGAGCCTCTGCCCGCGGCGGACCAGATGCCCTCGCGCACGTCTCCGTGGCTGGCCCAATCCCCTGCTGCGCTAGCAGCCTGCTGACCTGCTCGCCCTGGTACATGATGGTCGCATCATCTGCGTCATGAACTGTGAAATCTGATTGATCTCCTCCTCCTCCTCCTCATCCTGCTCCTCCCCCTTACTCCTCCTCCTCCTCCTGCTCCTCACTCTGTCCCGTTGCCGACGGTGGAGGCGGGGGTGGCACCGCAGCCTGCGGGTTCCTCGGCGTGGCGCCAGGAGGCGAGGCAGCTCTCCGCATCTGTGCATCCCGTTGGTGCTGCTCCTGCTGCTGCTGCTGCTGCTGCTGCTGCTGCGGCTGTGGCTGCTGCTCGTGCCCGGCGCGCTGGGCCGCCGAATGGCTGCCCGCTGGCGCAGCGCCAGCGTGCGCCAAATCGTCCTCCTCCTGGTACTGGTCCTCCAGCTCGTCGATCAGCTCCTTGACCCTGTCCAATTCGTCGATGATCTCTGCCTCCTGCTCCGATAAGAGCTTGATCCTGCTCCTGGTGTTGCGCAATCTCTCGAAGACTCTCTCCTTCCTCGCCCTCATCTCTCCCAACTGCTTGCCTGTCGGGAGTGTCTGCCCGAGCGCCGCCTTGATCACGTTTATCTTGTACTCGCTCGCGGTGGCCTCGTCTAGAGCGCTGGCCCTGCGGGCGGCCACCGCCATCTCTGCTAGCTCCTCGATCCTCCGATGGCATTGTGCACGGAAGCTCTTGTGTGAGGTCTTGTCTGCTGGCGCCTCTACAAAGTCCTCGTGCCCAATCGCATCTGCTCTGCATAGGGGAACAATCCTGGAGATGAGTGCCTTGCATGCACGGTCGGGCTTTGCACCACGGCTTGTGGCTCGACTGGCACTCCTCCTTGGCTGGCTGGACTGTCTGCTCACCGGCTTCTCTTGCTGTCTGCGACCATGCTCGTTGATGCCTCGATCTGCGTTGGACCGAGCTGAATGCTGTCCACGTCCATGCTGCCAACCATGCTGCCACTGGAAGATACCCTGAAGCCTTTCTTCCCATGATCTCCCGCATATGCAAAACTTGTGGCCTTGACGTATCTCCCGCACGGACAATTCCACTGCCCTCGCTCTGCGCGGTTCGCCATAGCAACTGCAGCGGTGGAACAGGAACAATCTGGCTTGAGCGGTAATGATGCCAAAATGAACGTGTCGCTCCTGGCTGGGCAGCCACCTGTGGAGCGACAAACAAGCCCTGTGCAACCTCGACTAATGTTTTACTTGAGCCAAAATGACTTGAGCCAAAATGGCTACGGACCCTCCTCCTCCTCCTCCTCTCCTCCTCCTCCTCCTCCTCCTCCTCCTCCTCCTCCTCCTCCTCCCCTCCCTCCTCCTCCTCCTCCTCCTCCTCCTCCTCCTCCTCCCTCCTCCTCTCCTCCTCCCTCCTTCCTCCTCCTCCCTCCTCCTCCTCCTCCTCCTTCCTCCAGCTCCTCCTCCTCGAGAGATCCGACGCTGCGAACAAAAGCCAACGTCATGAACAACGCTCGACCAGAGCCCCAGACCCGTCGTTCTGCGGCACCCCTCGAGCAAGATCGATGTGTGATGGTTCCGGGCCCCGAACACCAACGCAGAAGCTGGCGTGAAGGAGTCGCATCGCCCGGATCTCAGGCAGGGCCCTCTTGTCACTTTCCCAGACCCCCGACGTCGTGTTTTCTCACTGCGTCGACCCCCCGAGGACTCGACCTATTCCCCAGGCCTGTTTTTTCATCCCGAATCGTTTGTTGACGGTCCCGAGGCCCGGCAAGGGCCCCCAGAGCCGAAAATGGAGAAAGACCTCCAGTCATATTTTTCCCAACCAGCCTGTGTTGTTGGGTCCTCGTTTTGAAGACACGGTGCCCCGCGTTCCTCCTCTCCTCTCTCCCCCTCCTCCTCCCCCTCCTCCTCCCTCCTCCCTCCTCCCCCTCTTCCCTGCGTTTGACCCACCCAGTACAGCGTTTCGTAGCCCCATAGGGAGCTCCACCGAAGGCCCCAGTGCCACCGTCCACATGCGTCCCCCCCACTCACTACAGCGTTTCGTGGCCCCACAGGGAGCTCCACTGAAGGCCCCAGTGCCACCGTCCACATGCGTCCCTCCCGCTCAGTACAGCGTTTCGTGGCCCCATAGGGAGCTCCACCGAAGGCCCCAGTGCCACCGTCCACATGCGTCCCCCCCACTCAGTACAGCGCTTCGTGGCCCCATAGGGAGCTCCACCGAAGGCCCCAGTGCCACCGTCCACATGCGTCCCCCCCTCAGTACAGCGCTTTCGTGGCCCCATAGGGAGCTCCACCGAAGGCCCCAGTGCCACCGTCCACATGCGTCCCCCCCACTCAGCACAGCGCTTCGTAGCCCCATAGGGAGCTCCACCGAAGGCCCCAGTGCCACCGTCCACGTGCGTCCCCCCCGCTCAGTACAGCGTTTCGTGGCCACATAGGGCTCCACCGAAGCCCCCAGTGGGACCGTCCCAGTGCGTCCTGAAACACCCAATTGGGCATTTTCACCCACCCAGTACAGCGTTTCGTGGCTCCACAGGGAGCTCCACCGAAGGCCCCAGTGCCACCTTCCGCATGCGTCCCGCACTCCAATGTTGCATTTTCACTCACCCAGTGCAGCGTTTCGTGGCCCCACAGGGAGCTCCACCGAAGACCCCAGAAGGACCGTCCGCAAGCGTCCCGAAACACCCACTGTGGCATTTTCACCCACCCAGTCCAGAATTTCGTGGCCCCGTAGGGAACTCCACCGAAGGCCCCAGTGCCACCGTCCGCATGCGTCCCGAAAACCCAACGTGGCATTTTTACCCACCCAATACCGCGTGCCCCCAGTGGGACCGTTCGCATGCGTCCCGGAAGCCCCATTTGGCATTTTCTCCCACCCAGTACAGCGTTTCGTGGCCCCATGGGGAGTTCCGCCGAAGCCTCCAGTGGGACCGTCCGCATGCGTCCCGGAAACCTTACTTGACACACCACTCACCCAGCACAGCGTTCCTTCCCACCCAGTGCAGCGCTTCGTGGCCCCATAGGGAGTTTCACCGAAGAAGATTTTCACAATTGCGGTACCCAGAACTGCATATGGTTGGGCCCTTCGCCGGGATCATTTCCTTGCTCGAGTGGGTCTTGAGCTGTGCGCGCCGCCAGCAGGAGGACGCCTCCTTCCGGAAGGAGCTCCGCCCCGGCAGCTCCGACCACGGCGGCCAGAGCGGCGACGGCGCCTGGGGCGCCTGGGGGCGCAGCACCGGGGAGGCCGCCGGCGGCGGCGGAGGCCACCGAGGAGGCAGCGCCTGGGGCGCGGGCCAGGCGTGGGCCAGCGGCCAGCGCAGGGCCGACCAGACAGCCGGCGGGCCGCAGGATGCCGCGGGGCGGCGAGCACGTCAGTCGGCCCGAGGTGCAAGGTCGAGGTCGGTTCGGGGAGGGTAAGCCCTATAGTGTTCTTGCTGGATGCTCGTGGCGCTCGTGTCCATCCTGGGGAGGGTGCCCCTGGATGTCCTGTCTGGTTTGGCCGGGGGAGGGTCTCGTGTCCTCGAGGGATGCTCTTCTGGCCCAGGTCCGATTGCATCAGTCGGCACGATCGAAGCGGTAGAGAACGGATTGGCACACAGACTGAGAGCAGCTTTTGACCATTACCGTGTGGAACAGGACCAGGTGTCGCCGCGGACGTTCTCCGTTTGAGGCAGAAGGCCGCCTGGGCAACCGCGGCCGCTGTCGGTTTTGGACAACATTCGTTGTTTGGAGTTGTTGCCCATTCTTCCGTACCCTTTCCGGGCGTCCACAACCACATCCACACCTTCCCGGTCTAGATGCCGAGGCGCGACCTTTTGGGTATGCTGTTAGCCTCGGGATGATGCAGGGAGGACCGCTTCCCCGTCCTGTCTCAAGGATTGGAACAGCGTTCCCCACGGCGAAAGGGTTGTTAACTTCTTCCCTCCTCGGCGTTGTGACCCCCAGCCGGGGCCCGTGGACTCGTCCACAGGCGCAGCCGAGAAGCATCGCCCCAGAACGGGAGGAGACGGGAGGGACGACCGTCCAGGCGGCCAGGTGGACGTTGGGCCGCTCAAACATGTTCTTGGCCTACCACGAGTTTCTATAGTGCTCGGGCCCCATTGCGCGACAGGTCCCGCGCGCGGCATCCGCGCAACGCCGTCGTGCAACCATGGGGGCCAGGGCCGAAACATCTGGACCGCGAGGCCGTGGACATGGATAGGGGCGCGGGCCGAGAGTGCTGTCGAACTCCACCACTCCACCATGCCGGGGGTGCTACGGTCGGATTATTTGGGAAACCTCGCCGATTTGTTTGACAGATCTTGGGCCCCAGAGGGGCCCCCCAACCCCGTGCTCCCCGCTTTCGCCTCTTCGAGCAGCGCCAACGCCCGCGCGTGACTGTTTTCCGTCCGCCAGGACTGGAGCAGCTGGAAGCCGAGCAGGGCCTCCGAGGACGCGCCGCAGAGCAGGGGCGGCGCCGGCAGCAGCAGGGGCGGCGCGGCCGCCCAGGCAGAGGACTCGGGCGGGACGAACAGGGAAGCGGTGGGCGCGAGAGCTGCGGCTGGTCTTGGCCCCGCCGCCAGGCTTCCTCCTCGATGCGTGGCCGCCTCTGGCGCAGGGAGGCGCCGAGAAGGCCAGCGACGGAGGAGCGACCAGGAAACCTTGTCTGACTGTGAGGACGTTCGCGCGTCTGCTTCAGCTGGCGCGCGATCGCCTCCGTTTCCAGTGTGGCGTGCTGCGCCGGCGGCTCGCCGCATGCATATATATATATATATATATATATATATACATATATATATATATATATATATATATATGTGTATGTGTGTGTGTGTGTGTGGATGCTATGCCCTTGTGAGGCCCCTTATGTCTGCTCTCGGCGCTCCGCGGAGCATATGCAGACTGGCCCCGAGGACGCGTGGCAGGGGCCCTCGGGCGCGGCCTCCGGCGCCGGAGCCTGGGGCGGCTGGGCCGCCGCCGCGGGCGGGGCCGGCGGCGCCGCGTGGGGCGACCGCAGCGCCCACGGCGGCGCCTCGGGCGGCGCCGGCCCGGCCGCGCCGACGGCCGCGCCGCGGCCGCGAGGCCGCCGGCGACTGGTGGGGCGGCGCCCACGGGGCGCCCGCGGGCGGCTGCGCGGCGCGGAGCGCCGCGCAGCCGCCGCCGCCGCCGCCGCCGCCGCCGCCGCAGGGGCGGGCGGGGCCCGACCCCTGGGCCGGCGCCGGCGACCCCTGGGGCGCCGCAGGCGGGGGTGCCCTCCTGTGAGTCGGGGGTGGACAGGCCTCCTACCCTGACACGTCGATTGGTGAATGGTCCGTTTTCGGTTCTCGAGAGGGCGCCGCGGCCGTCATTTTCCAGGCTTGCGCCCGCCAGGTCTGGGCCCGAGGCCGTTTTCACTAAACCACGTTTCACTAAAGGGAGGTCTGTCCATCCCCGAGTGAGGCGAGGCGATGCGGCGCATCGACTCGTGGGGCCTTTTTCCCATCGGTGAAGCAGAAACTCGGGGCGGGAGGTCTTTGGCCATCTCGGGCCGCGGGGGGGCCCTCGCGGGGCCGCGGGGCCGTCCAGAAACGACGCGGGATGAGGAGCCAGTCCCAGGGAAAGGGTCGGGACTTCCGGGGATCTCGTCCTGAAAAGATCTGGACGTCGCATGTCTGGGTAATGATGTTCCAACCTGCTTCAGCCTTGATCAGCGAAAATAGTCGCGCACCAGGAAAGTACCGAAACTGGAGAGCTTTCACGTGTAGGGCCCTGGGAGGCGATGTACTCGTTCGACACTGTTTCGACACTGTTTCGACTCTGGCTGGCTCCGTCTGACTCCGCTCCGCATGCAGTATACAGTCGGGGCGCTGAAGAAGGAACCCTTTTCGTTGGGCAGGGGCTCCGTGTTTCCTTTCACAGCTTGCCTCAGGTTGTCTTTAGGTCTTCGATGGGAAATCGAAATTTAACTTATGGAAAAGGGCCTCGTTCCTCATTTAGGGTTCTAAAGGTCAGCGCCCCGACTGTATCAGGGCAGTGCGGTGCGGTCTGGTGGTTGCACGGCGCTGTTCTGCATTTTGGTGCAGCCGAGCCGATCCGGTTTCAGTGTCCCAGCTGCTCCAATCCTTTCGATACGTGGGCCCCAGAGGTCTGGACAACTTCCCCAGGGCCGGTCTTGCGTCCCGGCTTGTTTTTTGACGCTCCCGAGGTCCGGCGAGGCCCCCCGGAGGCCGAAGACGGCCAAAAAGAGCCTGGTATGCCCTCCTAGTTCCGTCTTTAGCGTCGATTGGCGCCGATTAGAGCCTGGGAGTCGATGAGATCGCGCCGACTTAGCGTCGGCTAGCGTCGGTTAGCGTAGACTTAGCGTCGATCAGCGCCGGCTCAGCGTGGTTGTAGCGTCGATCAGCGTCGACTCGCAGGAGCCGACAAGATGGCAGGAGCCTCCCAGGGGTTGCCATTGAAGCTGCAACCTTTTCGGATCTTGGGATCTCTGTGTCCCTGCTGGTGCAGTCCACCTATCCGGCGCACAGTTCGCCTCGACTTCAGTCGGGCCTGTCCGTCTACAGGGGGAATAAGAATAGTAAAAAAATAGCCCGGGAACTATTTCTGGAGTATCTTTTGACCACTTTGGACTACTTTTGGTGTATTTTTCGGTTGTTCGCCCAAAATCTCCCTGTAGGGGGGACAGGCCCGACCGAAGCCCAGTGCCGGTATGGACCCTTCTGCCAGGCAGGCAGCCTCCCCGCGCCGCGGCGGCGCACGGAGGCGGCCCGCAGCAGGCCTGCGGGTCGGGCGCGCGTGGGCGACAGGGCTTGCTGCGCAGCGGGGCTTCTGCGCAGATGGGCCCAGGGTTTGGGGCGGGCGTGTCCCTCTACAGGGGGGAGATTCGAAGATAGTCAGACAGAATGGTCTGGGGACTACTCAATCGCAGGCCTGGAGGGTGGCACCAACACCAACATCGGCGGCGTGCCTCCACCGAGGGAAGAAGATCCCGATCTCGGCGATGGTGGAAATATTCTGGCTTCCAAGGTGACCGAGATATTGCCACCAACACCGAGATCTAGGATCATCTTCCCCATGTGGAGGGCAACCCCTGTGTTGGTGTTGGTGCCCATTTCTAGGCCTCCACTACTTCTTGAGTATTTTGGGGCATTTTGTTTTGAGCATTTTTTGTGTCTTTTTTATGTTTCGTCCAAAATCCCCCTGTAGGGGGGCAGGCCCGACCTAAGCGTAGCTGGGCTTCTGCGTAGCTGGGCTTCTGCGTAGATTTGTGGAGGACGATCAATGGAGAGGAAGCGTGCTGCCAAATAGAATAATTTCCAGATGTTCAAAACATGTGTTAAAACTGTTTAAGAAATGCAAAACACATGTTTTCAACATTTCCGGGACATGATCCCGAATTGAACACACTTTTTTTAATCCGATGATAGGACTGTTAGGGTGTCCACTGTCGTGGCATCCACAAGCGTAGATGGGCCCAGGGGTGTCGAGGCTTTCGGGTAGCCTCGTCGGTTCTCGGCGGCTCTTGCTTCGGGAGCGTCGTGGGCGGTCCTCTGCGTTCCCGCCTTCCCTGCCTCGGGGCGCTCTCCGGCAGCTGCGCGCGCTTCTCGCGGAGAGCGCTCCGGGGGGTGCCCGACTCGTCCCGAGACGGCCGCTCCTCCTCCTCCTCCTCCTCCTCCTCCGCCTCGCCCTCCTCCTTCTCCTCCTCCTCCTCCTCCTGAACGAGCCGAGCTGTGGCCCGGAAGCCACCATGGGGGCAGCGTTGGGGCGGGTGCCGTCGGGCCGCGGAAGAAGGAGCCCGTTTCGTTGGGGAGGGGCTCAGTGTTCCTTCATTTGTTTACGAACTCTTTTTATCGGGGGCGGAAAAGAGGGGGGTGATGACTAGGGGGGGGGTGGATATCATGGCGCGGGCCATGGTATCTCCCCAGATTTCATGGCGCCTCTTCTCATTTCAATACGTCCCTAGTCCCCCCGCTGGGCCGCGCACATGCCGCCGGTCATGATTTGACCCCCCCCTCTTTGCCGCCCCCGAGAAGAAGGAACCCGTTTCGTTGGGGAGGGGCTCAGTGTTCTTTCGTTTGTTTACGAACTCTTCTTGGGCTGTCCTTAGATCTGCTAAGGGAGATCGAAGTGTGGAGCTCACGGAAAAAGAGGCGCCCCGTTCCTGCTGTAGGGTTCCCTGTGACAGCGTTTCGGCTACGACATTTCCAGGCCCCCTCGCGTCGTGACGCCAATCATTCGCTGCCAATGGTGCAGATTCCGGCTCGTAGAAGCAGTCACGTACTGCGACGTCTGAGTTTTGCCGTTCCAGCGACCCCGCCGAGGCTGGCCCCCGCAGACACACAATTGATCGTAGACTTCTGACATCATAGGGTTAAGGATTGGAAACGGAGGGGAAGGATTAAACTCATGGAATTTACGTTCGTGGGACATCATTTTTTTTGTCCCAGCCCTCCTGTGTTGGGCTCTCGCTTCGATAGAGCACTGCGGTCGCACACCTGCGGCCTTTCCTGCTTGTTCGTTCTCCCTCCCCCCTCGTCCCCCTTCCTCCTGCACTGCTCACTGGGCGGCTTCGAACTTTGCAGCTGTCGACGCTTTCGTGGGCTCCTGGGAGGCACGGCGGAATCCTAGAGTATCTGAGACCTCGCAGCTCCCTGGGAGGCTGCGATTTGCGCAGCTCTCGCCACTTTCGTGGGCTCCTGGGAGGCACGGCGGAGCAGGAGGGGAGTACCCGAGATGACTGCGAACTGCGCAACCGTCGCCACTTTCGTGGGCTTCTGGGAGGCTCGGCGGAGTAGGGGGGTACCCAGAACCTCGCAGCTCATCGGGAGGCTGCGAACTGCGAAGCCGTCGCCACTTTCGTGGGTTTCTGGGAGGTCTAGCGGAGTCGGGGGCCACGCGGATCCAGCCAAGACCTCGCAGCTCCTCGGGAGGTTGCGAACTGCGCAACCGTTGCCATTTTCGTGGGCTCCTAGGAGGTCTGGGTGAGATGAGGGCAGCGCAGATCGTGCATATCTGGCGATGTGTTATTTTGTATGGAGCGTTCATACAAGTGTTCGCCTCCTGTTGGAGAAGGGGTTGGGTATCTCTCGGGTCAGCTTTTTTTCCAACACTCCTGTTTTGGTTTCTGGTTTTGAATAGAGCACTGCGGTCGCACACCTTCTTCTTCTTCTTCTTATTATTATTATTCTTGTCTTCTCCTCCTCCTCGTACTCCTCCTCCTCCCTCCTCCTCCTCTTCCTCCATTTCCTCCTCCTCCATTTCCTTCTCCTCCTCCTCCTCATCCTCCTCCTCCTCCTCCTCCTCCTCCTCCTCCTCCTCCTCCTCCCCCTCCCCCTCCTCCTCCTCCTCTTCCTCCTCTCCTCCGGCCTCCTGCGTCCTGCGTAATTTCGTGGGCTCCTGGGAGGCACAGCGGAGTAGGGGAGTACCCGAGACCTCGCAGCTTCCTGGGTGGCTGCGAACTGTGCAACCGTCGCCACTTTCGTGGGCTCCTGGGAGGCACGGCAGAGTAGGGGAGTACCCGAGACCTCGTAGCTTTCTGGGCGGCTGCGAACTATGCGACCGTCGCCTTTTTCGTAGGTTTCTGGGAGGTCCAGCGGAGTCGGGGGCCACGCGGATCCAGCCGGGACCTCGCTGCCCCCTGGGTGTCTGCGATCTGTGCAGTTGTCGCCACTTTCGTGGGCTTCTGGGAGGCACGGCGCAGAGGAGGGCAGCCCTTCTCGTGAATATCTGGCGATGTGTTTTGCCGCATGGAGCGTGCATACCAATATATACGCCTCGCGTGGAGAAGGGATTGGGTACGTCTCGGGTAGTTGAGACCTCCTCGGCGTGTTGGAGCACATTTTGAGCCAGCCTAGGGCATCTTGGGCATCTTGGAGGCCACGAAGTGTAGATTTGGAAGCTCTGGAGGCCCCAGGGGTGCGTTGGCGAGCTCTCCCCCCCCGGCCTCACCCCGCTCTAACGCGATTTTGAATCCCTGGGGAGCAGGAAAGCG